ACTGCCCGAACACAGGGGTTGCCTGCTGCCCCCCAGGAGATGGAGGTGGCAGCATGTCACCCAGTTGTGCACCCTTCCATGCCAGTGCAGCAATGCCTCCTCTACCCAGGTGCAGAGTAGATAAATCCCACCAAGCCCTGCTGTGCCTGTTCACACACCTGAGGGGCATTAGCAGCTGGAGCCTTGTAGTAACCCTCCTGCTTCCTGGGGGTGTTTGCAACCTGCCACCCACTCAGTGGTGCTCAATTGGCTGAAGCACTGGATGCAGGTAGAAGAAACGCCCCAGGAAGGGTTCCACACCCAGGCACGGCAGGATCAACCGGACCCCATCAGCACCCTGACAGTCCCTCATGGTGCACACATTGGAGATGAGTTGAGGGTATATATATTTCCCATGTGAATCCAGGGGGTTTCAGCCAACCTGCACTTCTTGGGGTGCTCATCCCGTTTATTGTTGAACTCCAGGGAGATCTTCGCATCCAGGCCAATGCCGAAGTAGTTATTCATGACGCATTTCTCCAAGAAGTGGCTGAAAGCAGCGAACAGGGCAGGCAGGTTGGGAGGCAGTTGCACACTGGCAACTGTTGGATTGGCACTGGGGGCCAGAGTGTAAAATCTGCCGGAGCTGCAGCATGAGGCCCTGGAGAGGTTGGCACTGGGAAGCCTGGCCCAAGCTAGCGGGGATGGCTGGACCCCTGTCGGTCCCCATGGTGGGGTGTAGCACACCCAGGCCCTCCTTGCACAGGGCAGTGGGAGCCCTGAGTTCCCAGCACAAGCATAGTGCTGGCCAGTGGGCTAGAACCAAGAGCTCCAGCACTGGGCACATGCAGGCTTCCCCAGCGCGAGCACTGCTAGGCACCAGGGATGCCCCACTGGCGGGCAGAGGATGCCCCTGCAGCCACCTCTAAGAGGCAGCATGGTCCCAGCTCTGCTCCCACTCCGTGATGGATGCCAAGGGTGGACCAGGATCCCTGGGGCAGGCAGACTCACAGAGGGCTGGGGTCTTCAGGGAACTGCAGGCTGGCAAACGAGGCTG